GGGGGGGGGGGAGAAAGAAAGAAGAAAAAAGGAAATTGTATAGATTAAACATAAATTCTTTCCTTTCTTCTTTGAGGTTGGTATTTGGAAAAAGTTTATGATTCAGTTATTCATAATCCAAAGCACAGTATAGAATGATTTATCAGCCGTATAAAAAAGTTAGTTTTGTAGAAGGAACAAAAAGTTGGTAAACTTTGCTCTGCTGCAGCAAAAATTTCTATATCCCCACTGGGTAATGGCTGTAGAATGAAATTTTATTATTAGTGTGGATTATAATTTATATAAGTATTTTTTTTTTCCTAAGGAATCTGTCAGCATTTCCCAGGAGGTAAGTCCTGCCATCTTAAATATATTTTAAGTTGCTTTTGCATTTTATCCTGATATAACATTTATCTATTTATTTTGCAGAGATCTAAGCAGTATAAGAATGTGGTCATTCATCCCCGTGAGGTAAAATTTAATTATTTTAGTCTATTAATCTTTGATTTAAGAGATGTTGTTTGTCATCAAATATGAGTCATTTTCTAATTCATAGAAAAGTAAATATTATTTTAACTCTGACTGGGAAAATGGTGATGTTTTCGCTGCTTTAAAAACATGCTCTGAACTAACAAAAAGGGATCCCAAGAAAATATTTGTGACCATATGCTAAGTGGACTATCTCTGAAAGACCCCCGTGTGAATGGCCCTTACCTGCACTTCCCCTCCTCAATTCTATACTCTTTTGGTCAGAGAATTGTACTTTTATTGCTATCACTTTATGACAAAGAATGCCATGATATATTATATTCAATGTTACATCCTTCTTGATTTTGTTTCCTTTTCAGAACACTAGTCCCAAATTCTGTGAGGTATATCTTGATTTCACATCCATAGCACAACATGAAGTAAAATATTAAAAAGATTTGAGCCAAATCTACATAACCTGATTTGGTGAATGCATTACAAACTAATCAAATTTGTAAACAAAGATTTTTTTTCAAAAATGACAAAAATTAATACTTTTTATATTAATTTTATGAATATTCAATAAGTATATTTTTGCATGAATCAACTAATGAACTAATTTCTCAGATTTTATGAGGACTGTAGGAGACTTGTTATTTAGTCATTTTTATTCTTAAAGTTCTAAACTTTGCATTTCTTCTTTTTCTTTCTTATACAGTCACAATGTAGGTAGGTTAATACATAAGTTGACTACCTTTGGCATTTAAACTGATGTGTTTATAATGAAAACATTATGTATTCACTACTTAAAACATGATAGTTGTCTCTGTGACATTTTTCTAATACATAACAAAACACACAGACTATTTTAAAAACATTTTGTTATCCATGCAATGATGTAAATTAACATTGTGCATTCATTCATTCATTTGACCAATATTTATTGAACAATCTATGTCCCAGAAAGTATCATAAGCTCTGAGGAAACAGCAGTAAATAATAGGCAAAATCCTTCCCTACTTCGAGCTTACAACTAGTTTTACTTTTATCCCCAATGGTAAATTCTAATGTAATTCATATAAAACTCATACAATGAAAACAAATCCATTCTTGTGCTTCTTTTTATGAAAGAAAAATTATTCTCCTTATATTCAAGAGAAAATAAATTATAAACAATGTTGTGGAGATATTAGATCTAATTCTTTTTCTTTCCTTAAGGAAACCATAAAGATGATGGCTGATAAGGTAAGAAATTTTTATTTATTGGAATAAATTTTTGGTTGACATTATCAATATATAGTATGAAGATGCTAATTGCCACAGAAGAATATCTAAAATTTTATTTTTTTAGTAAACTGAAAAAAGAATTATAAGTTGCTTTAAAAAGACAATTTCTCCCTACCCACCTTAATAATGTACCTAAATGGGTCCATATTCTCTTGAGACACTTTCATTTAATAAAATGATTTTTATCTACTCCATGTGTTTTCAAAGGCAATCGTGAGCCAAGAAATCCAACTGTATTGCTTTTATTTTAATCACTTTTCACTTGTCATACTAATAATCATGTAGGTAATATGAGACATCAAAAATAACTACTAATATTCAAGGAAGATGGTGAGAATTTATTCTGGTAACCAGATTTTGATGATTTTTATTTATTATTATTTTTCAAGGAAACTTCAAGTAGCTCATCTAGTGAGGTAAGAGATACTTTCTTTTAACATTTAAAAAAGAAAAAAAAAAGTTCATCAAGAAATAGGTTTCCAGCAGTTAGGTTGTGTATTAATTTGTTGCTAAAGCCACAACCTGAATGTTCAAGGTAAGTAATAGAGAAATTGTTTACCCAGATACAATGTCATTTTGGAGAGATTGAAATTAACTACAAAATATACATTGATTTCCTATTCGGTGCTCTTTAACAAGTATATCAGATATCTGACTCTAGAGGAAACTGCATTTTAAATCAAGTCCGTGCCAAATTAGGAGCCAAATTAGTGCTTATTGTCTTCAGCTTAGTTTATCCTAAAAAAGCTCACAACAGTGTTCAGAGCCAATCCCACACCAAATCCTTTGTCATCCAGTCTATTCTGACTCATAGCAACCCTATAGGATGGAGTGGAATTGACACAGGAGTTTAGCAAGGCTTTAAACCTTTACAGAAGCAGATTGTCACATCATTCTCCCAAGGAACAGCTGGTGGATTTAAACCTTCCATCCAGTTGATTCCGACTCATAGGGACCCCCTTTGGGTTTCTGAGATGGTAAATCTTTATGAAAGTAGATTGCCTAGTCTTCCTTGGAGTGGAGTGACTGGTGGGTTTGAACCGCCAACCTTCTAGTTAGCAGTCAAATGCTTTTGGCACTATGACACCAGAGCTCCTTTTTCAGTTAGCAGCCCAGTTTAACCACTGCACCTCTGGGGCTCATAGGTTTAGGGCAGTGGATAGTAAAAGTGTTGTGCCTAGACTAGCAACATTAACATCACTTGGGTATTCTGATGAATTTAAAGGCTGAAAATCTCTTGTTTAAGGATATGGATTGACGGAGTGAATTAGATGTTGTATACATCAATAGTACAAGAAGCTCAGGTGGTGCAGTGGTTAAGGCATTAATCTACTAACCAAAAAGTGACTGGATCAAACCCACCAGCCAATCCCTCGGAGGAAGATAATGCAGTCTGCTTCTTTATACATTTGCATCCTTGGGAACCCTAAGGGGCAGTTCTGCCCTTTAGGATTACTATGAGTTGGAATTGACCAGATAGCAGTGGGTTTGGGAGTTGGTAGAAATAACAGGAGTCTTGGTGCCACAGTGGTTAAAGCAATCAGCTAACTGAAAAAGCAGACATTTCTTAATCACCAGACACTCCATGGGAGAAATATGTGGCAGTCTGATTCTCTACAGATTTATAGACCTGGAAAACCTAAGGTGAAGTTCTACTTCGACCTATAGGGTCTCTATGAGTCCCAATTAACTCCGTAGCAACCCGTTTGGTTGGTGGAAATATCCAAGCAGTAAAGATGACGAGAAATGTTGTCTGGGAAAGGAGGAAGCATGCCTTGTGGCCTTGAGTTTGGTGGCTTAAGGCAGAGTCCAAGGTCTTCCTAGTCGGTTTCTCCCGAAGCATGCTTTTCCTCTTTAAGCTACATGTCTCAGTCTCAAATGGAGAGAGCCTATGACCACTTATAAATAATAATTTTGTCCTCTAGATTGATACTCATTCACCAGGCCTACTTTGTATTTTTTTTTTAATTTATTACTTGCTCACACTTTAAACAAGTGATACTGCACAAAAAAATTAACAATAGATGAAAACTTTGAAGTGAAACATTATTTATTTGATACAGAGTTAGAGTTGTGATGATAAATGTTTTAACGTATTGAAGCCTAAATGTATGACATAATTTCTTAGCGGCAGTAGCTTAGGCCCAGAATATTAATTATCCCTAACATTCTTGTAAAATTATCTAGAGATAACAAAGGCTAGGTCATGCAAGTAAATTCTTCTTTTCTTTCTCTAAGGAATCTGCTGAAGTTTTCACACAGGTAAGTAGTTTTTATTCAAATGAAATGAAGTTAATATCAACTAGTCATGTTGTCATTTTTTGTATTTTTATAGCAAGTGCTTTTTTTCTTTCTCTCAACAGAAAACTGAGCTCACTGAGGAAGAAAAGAATTTTCTAAAAGAACTGGTAAACTTTCATATAAATCATAATTTCAAGTAAAACATCCTATTAAAATTGCTTCTCCTTTCAAATGATCACTTATTCTTCCATTCCAATAAGATTTATAAAAAATAATATCTTTTCTCTCTATTTGCTGTTTTGGTTTCCACCTATTATGTTGACAAGTAGATGTGAATTTATATTTTATGAAAGATAGGTAACATTGATGTTGGAGGAGTTACAAATCTCAAAAAAAAATTGTTTCAATGATCTAATTTACATACCACTATCGTTGAAGTTTTACATTATTGTTCATCCAACTTTTCTTTGACAACAACATCATTGGCAAATAGCTCAAGAGGCACAGTTATTAATGACTATTTTTGCAAACCACAGGACTGGAGAAGTGAGCATGCAGGCAATAAGCATAAGCTTTGGGGTTAGAAAACTCATAATACAACTACAGTTCCACAAGTTATTACTTAACCTCTTAAACTATAGTTTCTTCGACTGCAAATGAAGATAGTAATGTTGACCCTAGCTGGTGGATTTAAACCACCGGCCCTTGGGTTAGCAGTCAAATGCCTTAACCATTATACAACCAGAGTTCCTTCAAGATTATATTTGATGATATATATGTAAACTGTCTAAGAGAATGCTTGCAACACAGTTAATAGATGCATCCAAAAGAGGTGACAATTATTTTTATCACACCCTTACATAGAGCAAGCATTTCATTCTAAACATTCATAACAGAAAAAGCCTCTCTTTCAATACTTGAAAGTAAGACCTTATGAAATAAAATTTTTCTTTTTAAGAAGTTCTAATTACTATACAGATCTTCTTTATGCTTTGTGAAAACACTTCCATTAGCATCCTGCTTTTGTATTATACTTGATGTAACCTTGAGTTCATCCAACAATTAATTATTCCCAAGCAGCTCTAATTGACATTTTTCCCCATCCATTTATTGTAAATCTCCATGAAAAAAAAAAAAAAAATCTCTTAAGGAAAGATGTCATTGTGGTTCCATTTTTACTCTCTTAAAAAAAAAAGATTAAGGGTCATATCAAAGATAGTAAAACGTCCTAAAATATATACTAAATTTGACATATATAACAAACAGTATACAAGGTGTTCTCTACATTTTAACAGACATAATCCTCCATGGCTAGTCATGCTCACAGAAACAAACCAACTTCAGCAGAGTTAGATATTGAAGTTAGTTCTCTGTGACTCCAGAAACCAGGCTTCTTCTAACATACATATGAAAAAGAAATGACAGATAGTTAACTTTGTAAATCAGAAATATGCCTCTTTCTTTCTTACATACTTTTACTTTTTTCACATTAGATGCTTTTTCCTCAAGGTTTTAATTAACCTGACAATTTCTTGAATTCTGCACTTACATGTTCATACACAGTGATAGTAAATTTATGTAACTAAACTTTTGCCACCTTTATGAATTGTCCAATTAGAAAAAGTTCTAATTCATTTTATTCTGGCAAGATCAGCTTTGACCCATGAAGGATATTCAATATTAGAGTAAATATTGATAATTTTTCTTTCTCTCCAGAATAAAATCAACCAATTTTATCAGAAGTTGAGCCTCCTCCAATATCCCCAGGCTTTTCTTCAGCACCATACTGTTATGAGCCCAGAGAATCACATTAGAAGAGTTGCCTATCCCTTTATTCCCACTGTGGTGAGTACTGCATTTTTGTTTAAGTTAGGAGTAAAAACAAGAATAATAACTAGAAGTAGAATACCCCCTACACTTTCTAACTTAGAAAGTAAAAGAATTGCAAATTAAATCATAAGTGATTTTGTCCAAATACAGTAATAAATACCAATACCAACAGTGGTGACAAGTAAGCAATTTCACTAAATTAAACATAGATTTCCTAAGTGTTTGCTCATGTATCAGTTTATGTGATTTTTCTAATAATTCCTTAATGTAGGAAGAGGTAGATGTCATCTCTAGCTAACAAAATAATCTGTGAATTAAAGTGCCTTGCTCAAGCTCCAAGTACCCTTTTCCATTTTGTTTCAAAGAAATGCTTTTAAGGTATTTTTGTAATTAAGGAATAAATTACAGAAGTTCCAAGGGCCTTTGATTAGGTCATAAAATTGATATA